TATATATGTACTTATATAAATCTCTGTAACAGTAGCTATCAAATGCTCCAACAAAAAATGAGTCTTTTTCCATGCCGCTGGGCTTTACGCTTCCTCCTCCTGTCTCTTCTCCTTCCCCTTCTCTTCTCTGTGGCGGCGGCGGGGAAGAGAAGGGTTATCATCTCGGACGATCTTTCCGACGTTGAGGACGAGGAGGAGGACGATGAATGGAAGAAATGGGGGCAGAAGAAGACTCGCTCGGAAGACCTTCTGCCGCCGCCGGACTTCTCCAAGATGAATCCCGCTGAGATCCAGGACGAAATGATGAAGCGACATACTGGACCCGCTTACGGTTTCGTTAAACTTCGATCTGGTGCAGCTCGCTCTAGGGTTCGTTCGAAATTCTTCTTCTTCTTGTCGTATTCGGTTTGAGATTCTTCCTTCTTGTTGTCAAATGATATAAAGTTGATTGTGTTCGTGGAGGTTTAGTTATAGCAGTTGCCCTTTCTCTGGTGAAATTGACCTCGTTTGTGTGTGAAATTCTGGGGTGAAAATTGATTTCATTAGGGGGTTTGGATTGATTATTCAGTTTTGCTGTCTTTATTTTGAAATGCTGTTTTAGATTTTGTGGGTTAGGTGGTTCATCAAGATTTTGCTTGTTGGATAGCTGGGTACATCATCTAATCACATTTTCTTCAAAAATTCCAATACTTCTTGCTTCAAAAATAATTTTTTTATGGCATGAGGGTTGCAGCTAGACATGCTTCGACAAAATGGCCAAGCAAAGTTAGGAATTTGGAGGTAATTTATTTTTGTGTAATATAGGTTAGAGGTGTAATTGAGCTGAGCCGGTTTGTTAGTCGGCTTGAACTTGATTTGCTAATGAATGCACGAATTTAATTTATCGAGCGGCAAGCTTGAGCTTGTATGTTTAATGAGCTCTTTGAGCTTAGCTCAGTGGTTCGTGAGTTAGCTTGTTTATGCAGCCTTTGGTCACGATGATAGCTTATTTGGTGAGCTTTAGTGGCACCTTCTTCTGATTTCTAACTGTTTGTCATATCGATGCCTTCTCTAGTTGCCTAGACTTCTTCTTCATAGGTTGGCTTGCAAGCCTGCTGTTTTTGTTGCGAGCCAAGATCGAACTCACAATATAAGCTTGAATTCAAGCTCAAGCTCGAGTTTTAGCTTTTGATTTGATGGGCAAGTCAAGCTTGAGTAGGTGTAAATCAAGCTTGACTCAGCTTGTTTACACCGCTGACAGATTTTGTTATACTTTTCTTGAGTTTCTCACTTTTATTGATAAGATTCCACTTATATCCAAGTTAATCGCTCCCCTCAGAACACTTTTTTGTTGTACATTTATCTCCTTATTCTCTTATCATCAATCAATTCTTATATGGAAGAGGGTAGAGTTGGTAAAAGTTTTAGAGAGTTTATTTGTGTGCCCTCATGGAAGAGGGCTTGATGTTTTGGTCAAGAGAAGAAAATCACATGGGGGAATGAATAGAACATATTTTTTCATAGTCATATTTATCACAAGAGGAGGGAGTTTTTGGAAATAGATTGCTCAGATAGCCATTAATGCACTCAATGTAGGACAAATTTGCTTAGACTGATATGAATTTTCCATGACTAGTTAAAGTCGTGATGAATGCACCAAAGTTTAGAGGACTTTTCATGAAAGCTTAAGCTTAATTGTCCATGATTAGAGATATTCTCCCAATAACAGGAGGAAGTTTTTAAGCTGGTGAATTATCAAGAAAGATCAAAGGCTTGTTTTCAGCAAGTCAGCTACAAGTCCAAGCAATTATAGTGAAATAGTTCTACTTACCCTGTATATGTTATGGGAAGAAACCAATGGATTTTATCACACATTTTTCTTATTTATTTAACTTAATGTGTAGATTTTCCTATCGCACTTAATTCTCGGTCTAAGCCTATAAATAAAGGGTCACGGGAAGAGCGCCCATGTTACAAAATTTCTTTTACTTGAATTAATTATAGTTTATTTTTCTTTCTTATTTTCTCTTTTCTTTTGCTATCAGTGCTTAATATGATTCTATTGTAATCCACGGATAATTTTAAATTCAACTAGACAAAAATTACAAGCAAAAGGGTGGGTTGGGGGAAAAACATGTGATGGGGGTGTAGCCATTACAAGTAGATGGACGAGTTCCCTTCATTAAAGAAGTGTGAATTCATTAAAGAGAAGTCGATATGATTTTTCTCCTCACATTAAATATGCATATATATATATATATATATATATAATGTTGTTGGGGAATGAATGTAACTCTTCATGGAGAGATTGTGGAATGTTGGAGATCAAAGCTTACTTACATATCATAATATTTACGTCTAAACTACTTCGCTATAAATCTTGGGATCATGCATCCCCTTTTGATAATAGTTTTTCTTCTATCAATTTAGTTGATTTAAGATGATAAACTTGTGCCCTTGGCTGAACTATTTGGTGGTAGAATCTCTTTTGTGTATCATGACAATGTGATATGTTTTCTTGACTCATTTGTGAGTTGCAACAGTCTTTTTTTCTTGCATCAATATGTTTTTTCTTGCATCAATATGTTTTCAGCCAATTCTTTCTCGTCTTTGCTCGTAGTTCATCATTGAACCTAGAGGGCTCAAATTGCTTGAGGACATTCACTACAGAGAAGAGCTACATGTGCTCACCCCCTTTTTCTAGCATCTCTCAATCCTTCTAGTTAGCCTCTTCTCAAGCAAATTTCTTTTCTAAGATTTTGTGTCGCATCATTAGAGCTCTATCTCAATCATCTCTCCCCAATATGAAAGAAAAGTAGTGAAAGGGTGGGGATGAAGATGAAAATAGCAAAGAGTGAGAGAGGGAAAAAGAAAGATGGATTAGATGAAAAGAAATGTTTTTCTTGAGAGAAGTCGAGAAAAAGATGTCTAGAAAAGTCAAACTAGAGGAATTTGTAGAGTTCTAAACTTTCAAGAGAGTTTTGAATATGGTTTGCCTTTGAATTTAGCATAAGCCTTCTGTGAGCCTTGTTTGCTTTGTTTAATTCCTCGCATTCCGTTTTGGTTCTTTTCAATTATTTCGACTCAACTAACAGTTGACTAAATTAATTTTTATTATTTGTACTATTTAATAATATATTCTTATGGGTTGTTTGGGATCAATTTTTATTTTTTATTTTTTGTTTTTAAAGACAAAAAAAAAAAGAAACAAACAAGAAACAATGTTTGGTTATCTATTTTTTATTTTTTTTTCAATTTTTTATTTTCTGTTTGAACACTATTATTTTTAAAACTCTAAAAACAACAAAAAACATGTTTTCTGCTATTTTAAAAACACGGGAAACAACCTCTCCTCGCCTATCCAGTCTCCCTCGCGATGCCTCCTTCCCTCTCGCGTTCGTGACTGAAACTCTCCCTCTCGGTCCGAAACTCTTGTATTTACTCGTCGACGCCGCTCCCTTCTCTTTTGCCTTTCTCCTTCGGCGTTCGACCTTTCGTCTTCTCGCCTACCCTGTCTCCTCTTTTCGGCTGAGGAATTTGGTGCTATTGAGAAATCAGGTGCTTCCTCAATGCTTCCCCTTATCAAGTTGAACCATGGATAACGGTGATGTAATTGAAATAACTAGAGAGGCAATATGGTCAGATAGAAATGAAAAAATCTTCATTCAACTAATGAAGATTGAAGTCATTAATGAGAATAAGCAAACAATAACTTTTAGTCCAGCTGCATGATCACACATTATGCAAAAATTTGAATTATCTACAAAAAGAAAATACAAGCAAGAACAATTGAGAAATAAGTTCAATATGTTTAAAACTTGTTGGAGAGAAATTTCTAGCTTATTGAAAGAGATTGAAATTAGTTATAACGCAACCACAGGTCAATTTATTGCATCTGAAGATATATGGGCCAAATTATATAAGATATTTATTTTATATTATATTTAATCCAAAATTTATATGTTATTATTCTCATAGTTTTGTTAATCATGATATTTATTTTCGAATATATAGGTCAATAAAAGTGCAAAAATATTTCAGAAAAAAGATGCCCAATGTATGGGTCTCTCTGTTGTATTAATGGTTACACAACTGCAACGAGAACTCTGCAATATCTTTCTACCAGAATCCCTTCAGATACTAAGGAAGAAAATGAGATTGGAGAAATTGAAACAAAACTTGTGGTGAAGTATAAAGGAAAATTATCGATTCAACGTGCAAAGAATATAATAATTTCAAATGTGATTGTCCCTACACTTCAAGTTTTAAGTGAGTTCAAAAAGAAGGGTTGATATCATAGAAAAGAAATTATGTATCTCAACTGGATCTTCTAATGAGAGCTCTGAATTTTTGTTGGTTGAATGTATGAAGTTTCTAAACTTAATATAAGACTTAGATTACATTAATTCCTTGAAAGTTTTACATAAGTTTCAAGAAGCTGCAATATGGATGAAGATATTTCTTCAAATACCTGATAGCAGAAGGAAATGTTGGATTATTAATTTGAAATGGCTTGTTCAGCACGATGAACCTCGTTATCTTGTGTGTTTGTGTTTTAAATGTGTCATGTTTACTTTTTTTTCACTTTCGTTATTGTTGTCGAACATCTTATTAGCTTAGGTTATGATTATGTTGTATGTTTGTGATTTTTAAAGCTTGTTAATATTCATATGAACTGTTCTATGAGAGATCTATTTCTTTTTCTTGGAAATTAAAAGAGTATTGTGATTTTCATCTTCCAAAATTTCTAGCACGAAGTTTATTTCTTAAATTTTTTTTTAGTTTGATTTGCATTATTTATCAATTCGTATTGTATGTAAACATCATATGGACCCAATATAAGATTTCAAAAGTGATATCAAAGAAGAACTTGAACTTGCAATTGCTTTTACTTGTGTTGATGATTATGATAAACATTATTTAACAAAAGAACCATGTCGCTCTTACTTGTATTGATGATTATGGTAAACATTATTTAACAAAAGAACCATGTAGAATCATGTCTAAACTTAATATAAGACTTAGATTACATTAATTATTCGAAAGTTTTATATAAGTTACAAGAAGATGCAATATGGATGAAGATATTTCTTCAAATACATGATAGCAAAAGGAAATGTTGGATTATTAATTTGAAATGGCTTGTTCATCAGGATGAACCCTATGAGCCCTCCTTATCTTATGTGTTTGTGTTTTAAATGTGTCATGTTTACTTTTTTTCACTTTTGTTATTGTTGTCGAACATCTTATCAACTTAGGTTATGGTATGTTGCATGTTTGTGATTTTAAAAGCTTGTGATTGATGTGTTGATGCATTGTTAATATTCATATGAACTGTTCTACGAGTGATCTACTTTTTTTTCTTGGAAATGAAAAGAGTATTGTGATTTTTTATCGTCAAGATTTCTAATACAAAGTTTATTTCTCAAATTTTTATTTAGTTTGATTTACATTGTTTATCTATTCGTATTGTAGGTAAACATTATATGGATCAATATAAGATTTCAAAAGTGATATTAAAGAAGAACTTGAACTAGCAATCACTCTTACTTGTGTTGATGATTATGATAAACATTATTTAACAAAAGAACGATGTCAAAATTCTACTCTTCAAAGTCACAAGTATGTAATTGAAATACTGCGAGGACATTCAGCTCGTTGCTTTGAAAATTATAGAATTGATACTCATGCTATCATTAATTTACTACCTTATTGAAGCGTAAAAGTCTTATGAAGGACTCAAGATGACAGGCTGTAGAGGAACAACTTGTAATTTTTATGCTTATTTTATCGCATAATGAATGCCTAAAAGTGGTTGTTGAACGATTTCAACATTCATTGGAGACAATCTCATGACATTTCAGAAAGACTTTGGAAGCAATTTGTCACTTGGGAATTAAAATTATTATTCCACCATCATTTGAGATGATCCCTTAAGATCTAGTATAAGCCAAGGTATTATCCTTTTTTTTAAGGTACGTTAAAATTTAAAAAATTTATTTATTTGTTTCTTTAGTTATAAATATTAATTTATGCGAGTTTTATGAATAGAATTGTATAGGTGCAATTGATGGAACACTATTTTCCTACGCATGTACCTTAGAAAGATCAAATTTCTTATTGAAGAAAGCATAAAGAGCCAACCCAAAATGTTACGTGTGCATGTGGATTTGAAATGATGTTTGCGCACTTATTGTCGGGTTGGGAGGGAACAACAAATAATGCGAGAATATTTCTAGAATGAATTTGAAATCCTCAGTTAAATTTTTCGATGCCGCCTCAAGGTATGTCAATTTTATTCTTATCAGATTATGTAATTAATAATGATATTTATAGTGAAATATGTATGTACATGTTGTTTACAAAAATAAGAAAATGTTACCTCGTTGACCAGGATTATGCTAATATGCCAGAATTCTTAACGCCATACAGAGGAACAAGATATCATTTGCTTGATTATCAAGAAGGCGCTTAACCTCAAAAACAAGAAATCTTTAATTATAGACATTCTTCTTTAAGAAGTGTTATTGAGCGATATTTTTGAGTTCTAAAAGCAAGATTTTCAATCTTAAATAGAATGTCTCCTTATGGTTTATGCACACAATGTTATAGTGTTACTATTTGTTGCATGCTACATAATTTTATAAGATCATAATCTAGAGGAGATACATTATTTAAGATGTACGGAAATGAAAATTTTATAGTTGATATAGAAAGAGGATCTACATCAACTCTTGCCTTGTAAGTCTAGTCATTTGTTTAACTCATGTTCCTTGAGAATTCATTTTAAAAAAATATTGGCAGCATTCTGACGTCTCTCCCTCTTAGGGGCATCCAATGGGATGCTTGGCCTACCTAGCATGCTAAAAAAGGTGTATTATGGGTGTTGTCAGAGACACTATGATTGTGATCTTTTTCACCTGTTTTGTTAAGAAAACATGCATACATAAAAGTCTACAAATATATTTTTGTTGTGTCAAGTATATTGCTTATGAGCGCTTAGGGGGCTTACAAATAATTTTCCCCATCGCATCAAGTACAGAATATACATGTACTTAAATATTAAGGCGACCCAAAATTTACAATTTATTTCTTTTGTTCTCTTTTTTACTTTGTCTTTTTTCTTGATACATTTTTCTCCAAATTTTTTTTTCTATGCTTCTTTTCTTTTTTTTCTTTTTTTAATCTATCTATTAGAGAGATGGGGAGAGGGAGAGGGAGACTGCAAAAGGGTGAGTGTCTTGTGTAGAGAGATAAAGTGAGAGGGAGTGCAGGAGATGGAAGAGAGAGAAAGAGAGATGGTGGGGGAGGAGTAATTGGGGGGTTAGAGAAGAATAGGTCTGTGAGCTTAGCTTGAAGATCTTTAATCGCTCAAAAATTGATTTGAATTTTGGCTTGGATTGAAATAAACAAGACAAACTATGAGCCAAAATTTTTGATTGAATTTTTTTTTAGCCGCAAAATCAGATCGTTAACAATTCTAGTGTTATTAGCTCGAAGGTCATTAATCGTTCAAAAATTGATTTGAATTTTTGCTCGGATCGAGATTTGCTCTAAATAAACGAGCTGAGCTATAGGCCAAAAATTTGGATCGAATTTTTTTCAAGCCAATTTTGAGCTGACCTCAACTCGACTCGAAATCGGATCGTTGATAGCCCTAGAGATGAAGTGAGGGGAGGAGAACGGCGAAAGAGTAAAGTTGAGAGAAAAGGGAGAGAGAGTTGTTTGGAAAGAAGAGAAGGAAGAAGGGGTGAAGGAGAAAAAATGAAGAGGGAAGGTAGTATGGGGAAAGATGAAGGAATACGAGGGAAGAGGAAGAAGGTTGGTGGCCGGCTAAGCTCAGGCAGCGGCGGCCTGCAGATCAGATGATGGTGGTGACATTTACAAGCCATAGCAATGTTGGGTGCGGCAGCTGTGTGTAGTGCGGGCTTGGGACGGTGTGGGATGGGCCAACAATTGTCATTGGTTTAGTTAGCACATTGGATGATCCAACCCAATCCTCACACTAATAAACCTCTAAAAGGAAATCTTGAGGGCTATATTTATTTATAACTTCTGTGTTCATAATTTTTTTCTGCATATAATATCATAGTAAAAAACTTGATTAACCTGTGCTTGTACTGACAGATCTCTAAATTATTAGGATGATGTGCCTGTGATTGCAATGAGATGGAGCAATCTCATCAAGACAGGTTCTGTTGAGGCTAGGTTCATGGCTGTTGACCGGCATACTATTATGTTCACGATGGAGAGGGGCCAAGATTTGAAAGAGGTATTTATCTAGTAATTGACAGTAATGGGCAGTTTTGTTTTTAGTTTTTTCAAGGATGATTTTCATACATACCACTGAGTTCTAATGTATTTACATATCTAACTACTAAACTTCAATTTGTACATATATATATACACACATAATGTTAGGCAATTCAGGATAGACACATATGAAGATGTGTCGGATATGTGGAATAAATAAATAAAGGGGCTTTTACATGCATAGCACCCGAAACATTGCTATCCACAAATCTAGCCCTCTCTTTTATTTATTTTTCAAATTTTCACTCAATTATCAAAATTCATGATAAAACCCCATCCTATATTTTTTCATTTTTATCAAATTCTCAATGGTTTGATTGTGGCACTAATAAATTTATTGATTCAATAGTTCAAAAATTGCACCTGGGTGCTAGATTTTGTAAATAGCAGTGTTTTGGGTGCTATGTCTAACAATCCATGCATGGATTATGCATATTACGGGTTAACTGAAATAGAGATAAAAATAGCTAAATTTTGTAGTAGTTGTAGACTCCTAAGAAGCACTTAGATTAGAAAGAAACAACTGAAATATGGATTTAAGGATTGATTTGTTTATATTGTTTTTTTTTATGATCTTGGTTCAAATTTATGAGAGGTTTGAGGTTTTTTCCAAGGATAACAAGCACATCCGAATACACGAAGATGATTATAGGATGGAGGGGAATAATGAAGATGTTCGTATGGTGATACGTGATACGTGGTTCATGTAGACATATGATTAATGAGATGTGTGGTGGTTTGGAGGCTGTCAAACCATAATTTGTAAGGGAGGCGTGTTTGTTATAATAAGGCCCGAGTTGTCTCAATGAGATGATGTTGCTTCCTTTTGACGACACCATTTTGCTCAGGTGTGTAGGAACATGAATATTGATGTAGAATGCCAAGATCATTGAGAAAAGTATTTAAGATATTATTATATTCTTTTCCTCCATCAGGCCGAAGGATTTTGTTTGTAGTATTGAACTGATGTTGAACTGATTTAATGAAGTTGATAGTAATGTATATTATCTCCGATTTTGCACACATAGGAAACACCGGACAAAATATAAAGAAATCATCAATAAAAGCAAAATAATATCTAAAACCTTAATAAGAAGTAATTGGGGAGAGACCCCATACATCACTATGAATAAGTAAGTTCTAGACATTTGCATTTGTATTGATGTCCTATGCTAGATACAAATGGTTGTTTGTGGTTTTTTGTAAGATTGCATCTAATACATGAATTTGAACTAGAAGGTATGGGAAGAGTGATGTTTTGATATGGCTGCCATAATGGCGTCGTGTGGATGTCCCAATCATTGATGCTACAATTCAGTTTGTTGTGTTTTGGAAAGAGATGTAGTAAGAGCTTGTGCTGGATAGGTAGATGCTGGAGTTGAGTAGAGTCCTTCAGAGATGGGTCTTTGAGAAGAGTCTGTTGAGTCTAAGGATCAGAAATACAAAAGCCGTGAGGATCAAATGACACTACAACATTGTTTTCTTTGCTTAGTTTGTGGATAGATAGAAGATTGCGAGAGAGAAGAGGTGTATGATGAATTTGGCAGAGTCTGAGCTTACTATTTGGAGTGGGAAGAAGTCTAAAACACCTTTATGCTGAATTGGAACGGTTTGTTCTTTGTCCACCAGAACTCGTTCCTTCCCATTATATGATGTAGCTGGTTTAAGTTGGCTTAAGATCAAACGTGAAGTGTGCAGTCGCCCCAGAGTCTAGAACCCTTTCTTTGGAGGTAGCATTGAGGGCTTGGGCTGAAGTAATAGAGTATACTTGAGATTTGTCCGATGCCAACAAATGGATGCAAAGTGACCATTTTTATGACATATTTGGCATGTTATATTGGGTCTATTTGATGTTCTTCCTCCTTGTGAAACATTGGAATAACCTCCTCTAGAATTTGTTGACTGGTTTTGGCCTCTTCCCTTGGTAACGGTTGTGTTGCGTCCTCCGTATGTATTCAGCGCCATGTGGTTGTCGGATGTAGCAATGAACTTTGCATTCTCATTATTAATATTGATCTCCTCACTTGAGAGTAGACAACAGAGCTCATCCAATGCGATGGGTTGAAGTGATGTTCTAATGGCTGTTTCAAAAGCATTGTATGTTATTTTGGATCCATGCCAAATGATCTCAAAAATAACACCGTCACTGTCTTTTTAAAAGTGAAATACTCCTTTTTATGCATAGGTTCATGACACCAAGGTGTTATAGGTGTAAATATCAAAATTTAGTTGTTAGATATGTAAATACATAAGAATTATGTAGAATGCATGTAAATTTCCTTTTTTTTTTTCATTTTTTCCCCTACTTTTTTTCTTTGTATTGCCATCATTAGAATTTCATTTAATATGGCTGCTTAGCTATTTTTGGTTTTTACATAATTTATTTCTGCTATAGTTCAAAGAATTTGTCCTAAGCCAGCCTGAGGCATATGAAATGAAGATAGGAGATCAGTTATTTATTAGACCTGGAGATCCTCCTATTGACCAAGTTCTTGAGGACCTGAACACAGAGAAAAATGTAGATCATTCAAATGATGAACTATAGTTTTGTGTATTTTTTTTTTTTCAAATTTTATTGGAAGCTTTACATGCACTCAATTCTGTGTATTTACATATCTAACACCTAAACTTCAATCTATGTATGGAAAAATGTGTTTTTAACTTTTTAAAGTTAAAATAGTGCTATTTTTTATGTGATGTGAAATATTTGAGTGGTAAAAATGAAAACAGTAATGTTTAGGTGTTGGATGTGTAAATACACAGGAATTGGGCAGTATTTGTAATTGCTAATAATTTAATGCAGTGTTCATTAAATACCGGTTTTATTATTTATTTGTTTACATATTGTATGTTCAGTCTTATACACTTCATTATATATATATATCTATTATTAAAGTGAATGTAACATATTAAATAAATAGCTAGATTTGTATATTTGAGTATCATTTTGTTAGGTTATATGTTTGAATTATTTGTAGTAAATATATTTTTTGAACTGTTAATATTTTGCATATCTTAAAGTAAAGTAAATTTTTTATATGGAACCATGAAATTATGATATTAGTGCTTCCGTGCCAAATAAATTTTAGGGTTCGTTTGATAATGTTATTAGAAAAAAAAAAATTGCATGGAAATTGAAAAACAGCTTTTTCAGCTTTTTTTCAAATTTTATTTTATTAATCATGTCTCTTTTAGGGGCTGTTTGGAAGAGTTGTTGATTATTTATAATCTACCGATAAACAAATTATTCTGATAATCTATATATTTTAGGGTAGTCTATTCATAACAGCTTATTGACAGCTGTTGTTGGATAAATGATCATTCTGCTCATGTTTGGTTAGTTGTTTGCAATAGAAGTGTATGAGTACAGAAATAGATAAAACAGACTTACATAAATCATTCATTAACACCTCACTATGTCAACAGAACTATATTTTGAAGGGAAAGTGGACAACCCATAGCAAGAACTTTCAGTTTCAATGCATTTACATATCTACTCTCAGTGTCAATGCATTTACATATCTACACTTAAACTTTATAACACCCAAAACTTTCATATCACATAGCCAAAAGAAAGAGGCCAAAAGAAAGAGCTATCATCAATAAAAATTTTCAGGACAGAGTTCAAGATTCAAAACAAGCAATCCCTAGCTAGTCCAAAAATTTTTTAGAACCCTCTTAGGTGGAAATGGAAAAAGTAATCATAAACCAAAAAAAAAAAGAGCTTCCTCAGAGAAGTTTAAAAAATGCGAATAAGGAGCCTTTGCTATCCAAAAATGAGAATCCAGTAGTCCTTAAAAAATGTGAATCCAAAAATGCTTAGAGTGATTCGATTCTCTTTGATCCTCTTCTCCACGAAAAGCTGGCCCTTCGAGCTGCGTTCGTGTTCGGGTCCCGCCGAGCTTCGCTCGAAACAACGAAGGGTTTTCTTTCGCGAGAGAAGGGCAGAGGAGACGCGGAAGGGCAGAGGGGATCAGGATGGAGGAATCGGCGACCGAGGGAAAGCGTAAGTGCAGAGGGGATCGGGATTGTGACGGAGGAATCGGCGACCAAAGGTTTTTGCTTCACAAGAGAAGGGCAGAGGGGACACGGACTGGATCGAGATGGAGGGCTTCCGCGTAATAATCTCGAACGAGAAGTGGAAAGCGGGATGCCAGGTGCTACCCCGAATAACGAATGATCCGCATCCGACGATTTCCTACCGCGATACAAATATGTGAAACAAATTTTCGATCGGCGTTTTTAAAACGCCGAACCACAGTAATAAACTGCCCCAAACGGGCACTTAGTTTACAATATCTTCAATACTATTTTAAAAAAAATTATGATGAGATTTTATGGTCAAATCAACTAAAATGTACATATCTTTTTCAAATAATACAATATATATATATATGAAAATTTGCATACATAACAGACAATTCTTATGTATTTACATATCTAACACCCACTTTAATATTTATACTTACACAAGAAAATGCGAAGATGATATTTTTAATGTGATGTTAAAATTTTGAGTGGTATGAACAGAAATATAAATGTTTAGATGTTAGATAAGAATTTTGTGGTATGAATGTAAATGCCCACTTCAATAAAAATCAAATCCTTACTAAAACTATATCAACTTGCCAAAAAAAAAAAAAGTAAAAAGAAAATGAAGGCATAAATATCAAATCACTGTTTAATCACATGCTGGCTAATATACAGTAAGAGATTCACTACATGAAAATAATAACATAACAAAATGCGTGTCTACTAACGTAGGATGCCTCAGATTATTATTTAAATTTTATTTTATTATTATTTCTAAATATATATTTATTCAAAATAAATTGTTGTCATGAGTTTTGATTGGAATACTCAGATTAAATTTATATTTCAAGCACTCACTATTCAAAAAATAAAATAAAATGATAGATTAATTACTTCAGTTTGCTGCTGAAATCTGAAAGATCCAGCAGCTGAATTCGAGACATGCCTTCTGCTTCTTCCCTCTCCTTCTCAGTATTGTAGCCCCATCTACCTGCTTGAAAATAAATGAATTTGATGCTCAATTTGGTTAATAAGAATAATGAAAATTTACATACCAAGCATACAGTTCTTATTTATTTGCCTATCTCACACCTAAACTTTCTTATTTACATAAAAATGAGTACTAAAGATTTGAGAGTTATGTGTGTAAATATGAAATATTAGTCGTGGAGATATGTAAATAGATTAGAATTGTGTACAATTTGTGTAAATGCCCCTGTAAGAAAAAAAAAAGCTTGCAGTTCATCAATGGCGGCTGCAAGGAAGTGGGAAAAAAGAGGAGGAAGAAGAAGAAGACAATTACCTAAATATAAGTTCCATCCATCCAATGCTGTCTCTTTAATGACATTCTTCAGAGTTGCAAGACGATCTTCTACAAAACTAAGTAGAAGCGAAACAGCAGATTAGCCCAAGAAATTAATTTGACAGACAATATTACATGAATAAATTGAGCAATGAAATTCGATTTGTTTCAATTGAGAAATTTGATTTTTAAAGTAAGAAAAATGAATATGTTTATGTTTCAGTTCATTTTTTACAATAATATAATAAATTTACAATCTTTACACTTCCAAAAGTCACCTGAGAAAATATAAGGCACACTTACATATATACCATATAATTCTTATGTATTACATATCTAACACCTAAAGTTTTATATCACATAAAAAATATCACTATCACTAATTTTTTAAAAAAGTGAAATGCAACTTTTGAGCATAGGCAAAGTAGCGTATATATGGAAAATTAATGTGCTAGTGTTACATATGTGAAGACATAGGAATTATGTAGAAAAAGACTATATTTTCATTTCATTGTTATGTACTAAATATTCAAGGTATATTAGCACCAAATTGCTCAAGGAAATAAACAAAGAATATATATTGTTCGTTTTCATTTAGTTCAACTGTACTTATAATTAATTGAAACAGCTAATCATAAAAAAATCAACATCACACACAACTTTTAAGTATTTTTAATATATAATATCCAAACTTTGATATTTACTAAAATAATACTTTATTGTCATAATTACATTAAAACATATGCATGAAAATGCTTTTACATTAGAAAGCTAATGTTAGTGCTATCTTCAATAAGATGTTAAAAAATTGAGTTCTATATATATATATATATATTAAAATTTAAGTGTTAGATATGTAAATGCATAAGAATTGTGTGATATGTTCGTAACATTTTCCTTGAGAAGTTAGCAGAGCTTACTGAAGTTTCAAGCCCTGATGCTCTGGCATTGCTTGCAGCTTTTTTAAAACCTCTACCTTTGGGCTGAAGGTAAAAGAAAATAACAATTATCATAAATATAGGATAAATAATAATAATAATAATAATAATAATAATAATAATAATAATAACAATAATAGCAGAATTAATTTACTAACCCTGACCCTAACCCGTAGATCCTATCAGAAGGAATTTCTACTCCTGCTAGTTTCCTCAATAATGCGTCGGCAAATCGGCTCTGGGAGAAACACAGATTAAGCCATCAGCAAAAAAATAAAAAATAATTATAAAATATTTCATCTGAGAAAGTTTTCATTATATATACAATCCTTCAATATTATATTTATGGAATAAAGCTTGAATGGAGGGAAAAAGCAGCTTTTTTGTATTTTCTAATAGAAAGATTTGGGTGGTATGTTTGTAAATGTCCCTTATAAATAAATATTAATGGAGTCCTCTTTAAGTTGCAAGAATGAGGTTAATAAAACCAGAGTCATAAAAGTATAAGAAAATTTCTATGAAAAGAAGGTGGGAGTATACCTGCTTTGTTGTGACAATATAAACTTGAGAGCTCGCAAATCTCAAGGCATCTGATATACCTGGATAAAATCTAAAGCAAAATCTATGTAAATTAATCAAGTAAATGCAGTGAAAATGGAAAGTATTAACGTAATCCCTCGACTATAGTCGAATAAGATTTTAGTTTATTTTGTAGGAGGGTTTACAAACATACCACTTGATTCCGATGTATTTACATATGTAATGCCTAAACTTTATTTTTTTACATATATGTCATCTTGCCTATGCATAAAAAGTGTATTTTACATTTTAGTAGTTAAAGCAGTAGTATTTTTATGTGATGTATGAGATTTGGGCGGTATTAATGTAAAAAGGTAAATTTAGGTGTTGAATATGTAAACACATAAGAATTGGGTGGTATGTACGTAAATGCCCCTATTTTTTATTCATTTGATATGTAGAGAGCAATTTAGAGTAAGGAATAAGACCACCAAAGCAGTGTTTGTAATCTATCCTATATAAGCACAATGAGTGTTTGTAATCTCTCCTATATAATAGCATTTTAATGTTCATAATGTGAATATTCTGACCTCTAAAACTCACATAAAAGGTAATGAGTACTCTGTCAGACCATCACTCCTATATCATAGTAAAAGTTATAAAAAATTTTCATCTAGAAAATATTATACAGCAGAGCAAAAGGGTGAACACAAAAACAATACCTGTTAGCATCAATCCAACCTGATAGATCCTTATCCATCCATTCATCGCGAGCAATTCCAAATAGATTGATCAAATCATTACTCTTCTCATTCCATTCTTTCATAATTACAGGTTTCAATTCTGACCACTTCTCCAGGATATCTTCAACAGTTAGTCCTTCTGCAACCTTGAACATAATTTAAGTTATAATTTTAAGTTTTTTGGCATAGCAAAATGCATTTTATGTTGCAAAATGTGAAGTACGGAGATAGATGCTAAAAATTATTATACTACTGTTAAATTTGGTATACATACAGAAGATTGACGAGCAAATGGGTTTTGAATCTCCAATAGCAATCTAACAAGCAACAAATTTTCAAAACCAGTTTCAACTACAGGACGAACCTGCAAAGACCGAAAGGAAAACTTCATTTAGTAAAATGTTACTGTCATGAAAATGCACACTACAACAAAATTGCATATTTTAGAAGTTATGTCCATCCTCGTAAGTTTTTGCTCAGCATTTGTTGACATTTATTGTGCTGTCACTAAAAAAAATGATTGTTTGATAAGACCAAAAAAAAAATGTTGGCTTGAGTGCTGTAAAAATTGTGGCTGCTATAATAATATATCTTCATCATAATAGCCTACAATTAAATTAACAAATTAATAAAACAGAAAAAACTATAACACATAAAAAATCTTTCTGAGAAGCTCTAAAAGTACTGCCACAAGTAGCTTTTCAAATTTCATGTAAATGTACTTCTCTCACACCTGTCACACTAAATGTCTTGAAAAATTTTCTGTTCTTCAAGAAGCTGATAACAGAAAGTGGTTTTGAAAATCAGATCTGACAGACTGATTGAAGAACCATAACAACTATAACTTGGGATGGCATATGAAGAAGATGGGAGGTAGCTTAGGGCTCCCTTATGGTGGAGAACTAGAGAGCCGTACGATATATAACTCGGGATGAGGGTAAGGCTGTGCAGTAGCAGAATGGCTTTGAGGTGTCTAAGATTGGAGTGGGATGTGAGATTAGGAGTGTAACGTGTCGAGTTTGGGCAAGTTGGTACTTTGTTTACATTTGGCTTGTTTGAAAGTAATGTGGTAGTGTTCAGCTTGTTAGAATTCAAACTGAACAAGAGCCAATTTTGAACCCCCTACAAAAAAAAATAATAATAATGAATCAAATATGATAGTATCACTCTACCAATATATTAAATAATCAACACATAAAATATATATATATATATATATATATATATATAGAGAGAGAGAGAGAGAGAGAGAGAGAGAGCTTATAATTAGCCGAACATGATTAAACAAAAAATTATTTGAGTTCAACTTTTTAAAAAATTGAGCTTAAATTATATGATCATATTCATCTTACTTAAAGAGCAAATTGATCGCAAATTCTTTGCTCAAGAACGATGACGTTTTTGACAGCCTCTTCTGTGAGAAAAGCTAAGATGTGAGGAATAGCGTTTGAGACAGAGCTAGGCAACCTGAGAGCTCGGGGGTGTAGTGAGAGGTAAATCTGATAGAAGGCGACACATGGAGAATGGTGTTGGGAGGTGTGTGAAATGCTAATGAGGTAAAATATAAACAACAAGATAACAAAAGAAAAGAAAAGAAAAGAATCCATTTTCACCAAGAATTGAGTTCGATGGTAAGACACCAAACCTTCAACCAAAGATTCAAGTCACCAAACAGGATCCTTCAAAGAAAACGAACTTTTGAATTTTCAATCTCATTCATAATTCAAAATGAAAGCAGGGCTTGGTAAATTCACAACAAGTGGGGGAAATGAATGATGTACTATCACACCCCAACTGTCCCCTTAATGGTCGGCTGAGATGCGATAGAGGCGGACAATTCAGCCGACAAAATTCTCACCATTACTTATCCCGTCTTTCAGAATTAGGAGCCGGTGAACAATGGACTAGTCTAACTAAATTGCCACAAACATACTTGATACATTTCATTTCATTCAAATTCACATAAGCTCGGAAGCATAGAAAACTATATCATCAAAATATATAAACTATACAGAGCTATTAAATTTAATAAAAATAAAATACATACCTAAACGACTTTATAAGCTCCCAAAACTATAAATGCAAGAGCTGTAAAAGTCACACCTGGCTACTCATTCTGATGCGCCTGACCTCTTCTTGAAAATAAACACCATAGAGTGAACAACAAGTTCAGCGAAATAATTAGAACTAAAATAAAATTTTACACACGAAAGAGAAACGTGCACACTTGTGTGTAACTGTACATGTCCACACTCAAATCATAACATACTAAAATTATATCACATGTAAAACAAAAACTTGTATTATAGAAAATCGTGATTGTTGTATGAAACACGTATGTCATTCATTCATGTGTAGTCATCAACATAAATCATAAGCATGTTCATAATAAATATAAACTAGTTCATAGTAATATCACTTATAAATGTATAGATCTCAACTATTTCTATGTTTTGTCTTATCATGTGTCGTCACGCTGCCCCAAAAGTCATATTAACTATTGATAAATGTTGCCCACCCAGCATAACAATTATCAATAGTCCCCCTGATATACTAACAGTTTCATGTGTTTTGTCATTGTATGATCACAATGATTTCTAGAATTTCGTCACCGCCCGAACATCATGAGTCAGGAATACTATATTTCTGCATAGTGTACTTGCAAATACTCGTGTAATAGTCTACCAATAACATCACTTATGACATTTAAATCATTATTTTTGTATCAAACATACATCACTGAACTCCATGTTTAAAATAGCGTAAAAACAACACTTAGTCAAAAAACTCTATGTCTTCCTCTACAACGACGATCTCCTTAATTGTCTCACTAAACTCCATGTCAATTTCTTATTGGGTGTCCAGCTCTAACACTTAGTTGTATGCTACTCACCACTCGTAGTAAGCAATAGCACTAGGTCGCCTTTGACTGTAGTGACCTCTCCCTTGCTCAGGAACTTAACTATGACATGGTAACTGGAGACAATAGCTCTGAATGTATTGAGTGAAATCAATATAGCATTATATGTCATTAGGGAGTCAACCACGACAAAGTCAGCCATGATAGTAAATTATTTGTCTTTCTCTAGACAAGTGACGAGCAAGGAAAGATCCTCCTTTATGAAGACAATAAGAGGTTGATGAACTACTCGGTGTAGAGATGAAGTAGTCAAACACATTTCTCTTGAATGAAGTTTCCTAAAGCAGGCTCGAAGAGAAGCTCATACCCCATCTCCATTGAGTATTGCTAGGACAATGCATGCGATATGAATCATCTGGGCACAAGCAAGTTCGTTGTATCTCTTTGGTCGAAGCATTTTCTCACCTTTGAGTCACTGCGCCTGATAACATGAACTCCTTCAACTTCTTGCATTGATTATTTCTTTAACTAGGTTCTGGAGGTGGTGAAATTCCTTTGTCTTATGACCATAGTCGTAGTTATAGGTGCAATTCCTCCGGGGATCGAGCAAGAACCTCCTACCTTCATAAGCATTGACTTGCGAAAGTAATCTTTATTTTGGATGGTCTCTACAAACTCGCCATGGAGACACTCAAAGAAGTCTGTTACAGTATTTGGTGGATTAGAAATAGTGATTTTCTCTCCATATGGCGGTCAACTCGCCTCTCCTAATATTGACTTCGTCCTCCCAGTGGGTGAATTCTCCTTTCCTGTACATGGATCATTTATTAGAATAGGTGAGGTCGCCGCTTTGTGAATCCCCGCCTTACGACTGGTCGCAGTGAGTGATGCATTTCCCAATCAACTTTGTGAAAATTCATCTTCAACGATTGTCTCTCTGAATGCTCAGTCATGTGGAAACTGGCGAGGAGTTGTCGATATATGATTATTAGCGAGTTACAAGAATTCCGCTAAGGTCTATGGGCGTTGTAAGTCAATTATGTAATGGAACGGACTTTCTCTTAGTCCCTATGCCAGGGTGACAGGGGAGGTCACAGGTTCTCGGTCTCGCATTTCTAACTTCTCTCTCTATAAGTGAGTCACGAAGCCTTATAACGTCTCTCTAGGTTCTTTACTAATACGTAGCGATGCTTGTGAACTCTTTAAGGCTTCTAAGTGCAGACGAATTATGCTATCAACATTCTCTGAAAGTCCGCGAAAGTTGTTATAACTCCCAATGTTAAACAATTAAACCACTTGAGGGCCAACTCTTTTAGATTCGTGAAGAATAGTCAGCACCTCAGTGCATCATTTGCTTTTAATGAACAAACAATCGATTTGAAAGATCAAAGATACATGTAGTTGGATGGGTCTGTTTGTCCTCGGTAGGGCTCCATAGATGGAATCTTGAAATGCTCCGGCACTTTATCTTTGGATATCTCTCTGGAGAAAGTATTTTCTAACTAATGTGCATGGGGGGTTCCAACCCTCCTATCACGATCATAAGGGATCAAACACGTGCTATCCAGATAATAAAGATCATCCTCATTTGTCGGAGCTGGCGAGGGAGTCCTTTTAACATTGGAGTTGAGTTCTCATTGTTGCAATGGGATCACTAGTCAGGGTGATAGTGCCACTGTTTGGGTGAATATTTCTTTGATCATTTTTATCATTTGATCTTTAAGTTCATTAATTGGTTGATTCACAAATTATCTAGCACAAGTGTACAACCAATGTGGCTTGTGACTTCTCTATTACTCGATTCAACTAATTGTGTGACTCCTCTTCTTGTATGTGGTATAATCTATATTCATCACATCTTTTAAAGAACTTAGATAAAGTATTGTCAATGGGATCACACCCAAGGGATACAACCAGGAAAGGAGCAGAAAATGGGGAAGAGTAGGAGAGGAGTGAAGAGGAATGTTGTTTTATATTTTGGTTGTTGTATTCAATGGAAAAGAGTTCTCTAAAATGGGAAGGAAAACAGATCTTCCTCTTTACATTAACTTTCACCTTTATATAGGGGTACCTTCTCTATATAAAATGTACATATGCTATGATTACACTTAGATCTCGAAGAATTTTTTCTTGTCAAGATCTGTCTTTTAATGTTTGAGAGTTTAAACTATATTATCTTTGGTCTATCATCAATGGAGGCGGCATTTGAACATCATCTCGTCTAGTCACATCAAGCACCTAGTTGGTCTCCTTCCTTGGAGATCTCCTTCTCAATTCATGAAGTCGTGGATGAATGGATCGGTATTCCTGGATTATCTTTATATTCATCAACGTTTGCTCCCTTGTGTCTTAGGATTTTTACTCAATCACTTGCATTCGATGTGCTCGTACTTCACCCTTCGCACTCAAATGGTGTATGTTCAAATATGTGTGCCGCTCCTGGTTATTTGGGCTAGACCTTCGTGCAGGGCTGGACCAGGAAGGGGAAATCCACTAAGCCGAATTCCATATCTGCTGGTCTGCTATGAACAATTTTGGTCATACAATAACAAATATCAATTTTCCCCTCGTTTCAGTTCAGATTGGTGAAACAATGATCGGCTGAGCCAAATCTCCCTGATCTCACAAAATATCAATTTAATTATATCGCAAAAGCCACTCGTCTTAAGAGTTCAGCCACGTTGAGCAAAGAACGCTCCGATTTATCTAGCTAGCAGATTAGATTCAGCACAAAGAACTCCACAAATTTTCTTATCAATTGAAACTTTGCTAGACCTAGCCCTAAAAAGACAGCCCTGGAGCTTTCATTGAAACAAAGTTAACACAACGAGTTACTGCGACTACAGAACCAAAAGCAGCGAAATTCCTTATTACTGTGAGGAAAAAGGAACTCACAACGCGCATCTGATCGATTATCCATTCATCCAGCTCGGAGCTCACTCCTTCAAAAAGTGCTGGCCATCGGATCTTAGCTGCCTACAAAGGGACGAAAAGGGCAAAAAAAATTACTCACCGGATTGTTTCAAATCCAAATGCTACAAAGACGTGAAAGGAAGATTGGGGAAAAGGGAGGACTAGTGGGAGTGATTAGAGGAGAGTTTTTGAGACCTTAAGAGCGGAGATGGAGCTCTCGCCGCAGCTATCGCAGATAACACCATCGAAATCAAGAGCATAGAGGTCGCCGCCCATTCCGTGCTTCTTCCGCGAACACCCAGTGAAGTTTCTTTTCTTCAAAGAACATATACGTTCTGGACATCTCCAAGCCCGAAAAAAATTTGTTTTATGCAGAGCTTTATACACTCTGTAAGCTCGGAACTTACTCGAAAGTACCGGCAGGTAGGTAGGTTGCAGGGGTATAACGCGGTCCTCTTAAAATTTTAATATCAATTTTTTTTTTTTTTTTTTTTAAGTTATGAATCAGAGGTATTGGACTGATTCAATGTAAAAATTGAAATTATTAGATCAATTTTTTGGAAAGTTATGAATCAGAGGTATTGAACTGATT